AACCATGACCCTCCTCTAACGTCTATCACAAACCATAACCCTCCTCTAACGTCTATCACAAACCATGACCCTCCTCTAACGCCTATCACAAACCATGACCCTCCTTTAACGTCTATCACAAACCATGACCCCTCCTCTAACGTCTATCACAAACCATGACCCTCCTCTAACGTCTATCACAAACCACGTCATCAATGACAACCAAATACCATCCGCTTCACAAGGGGACAAAACAATCCATTGCCAAGCTCCCCGACCTGCGTGACAACCATGGCTGACGCAGAGGTTACCACTGTATCACCCATCAACACCCACTGCATTCCACGATATCACCAACATTGTCGTCTCATTAGCTATCACCTATCACAGCCCTGTAATGCAACAATCACTGCCACGCAATCCAATTAACACGGACAAATTTAACGCAACAATCACCCGCCAATTAACACACACACACACACAAATCACAGTCACGCGATGATCTAATTAGCCCCCCATTCAGCAAATATGTCAATCACAGCCATTCAATGCATCAATCACCATTTTGCAAAGTACAACTTACTATCATGCATGGTGAACGCCATAACGGTAGACAGCCAGACTCTTGCCACCATCGTCACGCAATAGTACTTCCCTGCCCTGCCACCCTACAAGACATTTTGACCAAGAGTCGTGCCCTAGCGCTCACTCTTTGGCCAAGAGTCGTGCCCTAGCGCTCACTCTTTGGCCAAGAATCGTGCCCTAGCGCTCACTCTTTGATCAAGAGTCGTGCCCTAGCGCTCACTCTTTGACCAAGAGTCGTGCCCTAGCACTCACTCTTTGACCAAGAGTCGTGCCCTAGCGCTCACTCTTTGACCAAGAGTCGTGCCCTAGCGCTCACTCTTTGACCAAGAGTCGTGCCCTAGCGCTCACTCTTTGACCAAGAGTCGTCGCCTAGTATCAACGTCACCTTATCAGTATTAGGAGAGTCGTGCCGTAAATATTATCACGTGACACGACGACGTCATGAAGTCAGCCGTGCATGTGGGCGTGCAGGTCGCAGCCTCCACTACGAGGTCATGAAGGTAAACCATTCATCTCCTCACCGACACATCGCTCTACTATACACGTTCTACTTTACAATAAAATTTGCTTGATATCGATACGCTACCACATGGTTACACTCACAATACAAATGCCATTGGTGTATTTAGTATACATATTGCTGTATAAAATAGCTACCATTCAAATATCCTAAACCAATAGATCACAGTCAAATCTTTGATAATATACTCCCATCTCGTCAACAATCACCTTACCATAATTTCCTTAACTATACAATTGTGTGGAAAATAACTACCACTCTGGTATCCTTACCCAATAAATCACAGTCAAAGCCATCATTATCAATATTATCACTACCACCTGGCAGCTCTCACGAGAAGGGCCACATGGCTCTGCTCCTACACCGTCACCCCCACACACACAGCCCCGCTCCTGTGCCAGGTAAGTCCACTACGGGCTCACCATAGTCCGTGCTACTTGGAACTTGTTCAGAGTAGCTGAATCTATAACAACAACCACCGTCATCAGCTGAATCAAAACACCAAACAAACCCCCCCCTCCCCCAGCCATCTTCAGAGAGCCAAGAGTACTCCGAGACGTACTCTTATCACTTACTGTACATCCTTATCCCCTGTTGATTTACTGTACCCTTTTTTTGCTTCATAATTCAATGCATTCTACTACATAATTCCTCCCATTCTCGCCTGTCTCTAGTCCATTGTTCAATTCAGTTTCCAGAGTAGCATAATCAGCACAAAGGAGCAACTGAATAACAAACTATAAGAGACACGGGGGCTTGAGACTAATGTTGCATCCAGCCTCAAGCTCTACTGCTTTGTTGTGTTTCAAGTACCTAATAATAATAATAGAGCCTCCTGAATACATCCCTAAGACAGTATATCCCAGCAGCCCACTAAATATGTAAGAATAGCCTAATCAACGTCTTGCAAACCCTCAAACTACAAAATGAAGCATTTAAACAACGTAGTGTACCTACAAGTAGACTAAACAAACTTGGGCTATGTGTCCATGCAGTGTCCTCCTAGAACAATTGCAACATGAACATGTTCTTATGAAGTTTTCAAACTTCCTGAAATTACATATTAAATTTACCTACTTTAATGACTGGCATTTTAAGCTGCTGTAAGCTAGCATTTTATCGCCTCTGAACTCAAGTATGAAAGTTACTCCAAAACTACACATTCTATTACAGTACAGGATTGGAATAAAGAACCGACTAAAGACAAACAAACATAATGAATGTTTAAAAAAGCACAGCTTCTAAAATATTAAAAATATTAAGCTCTTCATGATGGATTTAACGTAGAAACGAATCTCTGAAAGCATTCAACACAAGCATGTTATCTGAAGATGTACACAGTACTTGACTAAAGCTTAATATAATCATTTCCCAAAAGTAGTTTGCTATTTAGCCCTGGCAAAAATGAGTATTTCCTCATCTTCCACAGGATCATTCACACCATAATGGCAAGCGAAGCGAACTTAAAAGGTTCATAATGCAGACAACCTATCTTCCGATCAAGTAACTTATAGATATGTATATGCATTTCCAAAGACAGATAGACACACACACACACACGGTGTATATGTATAAATGTATGTATGTATGTGTATATATATATATATATATATATATATATATATATATATATATATATATATATATATATATATATATATATATATATATATATATATATATATATATATATATATATATATATATATATATATATATATATATATATATATATATATATATATATATATATAATATATATATGTACATATGTATATGTGTATATTATATACACATATATGTGTGTATATAATATACACAGTATATACTGTATATATAATATGACAGTGTCAGACCACAAAGGAAGAATTGAAACAGGAATTTCCTTAAGTATTTTCTTATTTAATAATACATCTTCAGAAGGATGTCAGTGAAGCTGAATGTATTATTAAATACAAAAGTACTTAAGGAAATTCCTGTTTCAATTCTTCCTTCGTGGTCTGACACACACACACACACACACACATATGTATACACACACACACACACACACACAGTAGTATATCTATAGCGGCCAGTTTCCTATTCCAGTGCCTTAGTGTCGCAATCCAGAGAGGAAATGCGCGCTATATCTTGGGCACGCACCCAATCTCTGAAAGAGCTGGATGAGGTCTTCGAACAGTGATTGTTGTGTGTGTGCGTGTGTTTTGAAAACTGTAGCAATGTAATATATATAGTATATAAATTATAACGTATTATAATAAATATACAAAAAAAAATCGTCATAAAGTACTTCACATTTCAAGAGATCTTACACCTGTAGGACAAATAAATTCCCAATATTATCATACTACTCTTCAGATGTGAATGGAATGCATAAAAAAAAAGCTTGCAACATATGCATCAACAATCAAGTCACTACAGCTTTACTGACTGTATCTTGCATATTATCAGAAGCAGCTTAGTTCTGAATGATGATGAGGTAGTTTAAATTTAAGTCAGAAATTTACCTGAACAGCAGTACAAGAAAGATTGGCCGGAATTGCAATTACATTTTTTAAAGAAACTTTGATGTGTTTACCTGTCTTATCCACCGTATAGTCACTCATATGAATTTAAGTGCATACATACTTTTCTCCGTCGATAATAAATTGATAAAAACTTGTATTTTTGTTACGAATCTACTTGAAAGTTATCATATGTACAGAATAAGTTTTCTCTATCTGCACACTATGAAAAACTTCAATTTTGGTTTAACATTTTCTTACAACAGTGTATGTATATTTGCTTGAATATTAGTGTAATGAGTCAACACCACACGACCCTGTGATGTAATACAAGTGTTTCATTAAGCACAGGCAGCCCAAGGTGCACGTGTACAACGGCTAGCAAAGGAGGCATTGCTCAACATACGGTTACAGTGCTCAAACCTAGTTTGTTCAACAGCCAATAGGAACACTAACTTCCCAGACATATTTCCATGCTTTAAACAGATTAAACCAGCATGGGTACATTTGTACAGCTACATCCTCTTCCCTGTGGGGTAGGTGTAACCAGGTTTGAGAGAGCATTTAACAGTATAGGAACAAGTTGAGGGCTCCTTTTTGTTATACACGCATTACGTGACTTAAAGGATTCTCAAAGGTAGGCCCCTGTGGTAGGTATAATGGTGCTTCTGCAAAGCGTTTTTAGTTTTGCATAGGCTGCCGCAGATTGAACAGCGGTACGGTTGTGTAAGCATATGACGATCCTCAATATGCCTTAGAAGGCTTTGGCGTGAGGACAGCATTTTCAAGCAATGAGGGCACTGCTGCTGCTGTTGTTGTTGTTGATGATGTTGAATTTGGAAGGACAACAGTGAAGAAGGACTGGTTGGTGTGGAGGGGGTAGTGCCTGTTGCTGACCGGCCTGAAAAACAAGAAAGAGGCCCAGGTCAGTCAGGTCACAAGGCCAGGCTTCCACGGCAACGCAATTACCAACTCATCCTACTTTCATATGGCCACTTTTGTAACTGTTTACTCCAGCCCTCCCACTTGTTCCTCACGTCTTGATTGCACAGTTGAGGCTATATTTAGAGTATAAAATACTGCTGCATTTGTGTGTGACATCAACTGAGATGAAGTGACGAAAAATAAAATTTATAAATATATAGTGCACACAAATTATTTTCTGATCTTCATAACTGCCATAACATTTGTGCATTTTAAGCCTTTTATTTTCTAAAATAGGATAACCCATGCCTATTAGTGCTGACTCATTACCATATTTCTTTACATGCATATTTTGCAATGAATTTCACCAATACCTATACAGTATATTGGTGAAAATTGTTTAAAAAAAATGAATAAAAAATAAATAAAAATTAGTAAATGGTTGTCAATATCAATTTTAAACCAGGGTTACATAAAACAACTCCTCCTATTTATATTGAGTATTTTATTGTATATTTCTACTGTACAAATACCCTGTACATGTGGGTTTGTGATTATGTTGTGTACGTTATTTCATTTAATATACATACATATATCTATATATATATGATCAACATACATACATTGTGGAGGTATATGACATGAGGTTTGCGTTTCCTGGCTGTCTTTGGCACCTAGGCACTAATGTTAGCAGTGACTAAAATAGCAATATCTATATAATTCTCTTTTGATCCCTCAGTCTTGTACGGCAGTGGCATTTTTTTTTTTATTTTTTTTTTTTTTTTTTTTACAATTGAGGTCGGGATGGTTTATCATAATGTATTTGAAATGTGCTGAGGAATTAGTTTGAGATGAGAGGTAGATATGATTCTGGGATGCAATGCATCTCCAATGAGGTGATAATTGAGGCGTTAATACTGCAGGAAATGTGTGGACCCCTAGGGGCCATTCTCTGTCAGTGTTTTGGGTGGTACTTGAGAAGGTGTTGCCTGAGACCATTTTTGCTGGTGGTTTGCTTGCCACACAGCGTACAGTAAAATGCCATTTGTATGGGATTAAAGTGGACGTCCTGCTGGTGTACTTTAAGGTTGTATCTACGAGTGAAGCCTTTCCCACAAAGCTCACAAGGATATCTGGGGCGAGACTCCCTGAGATCCCCACTCAGCCACTCGTAGCCTGAAAAACGACAGTGGTGTGTGTTACTACCACGCTCAACTATTTCTGGATGACCCAGCTACACAACCTAGTCTACAGCTAGCCAAATCATGGCACAGAGCTACTAAGTGCTGGCTGGCTCCTAGTCTTATCAGGTCACAGTTGTATACTCCGATGGTAACGGTGCATATGCATTTTGAGAGCTTTCTGTGTGGCAGCAGAGCGGCCACATTCTCTGCACTTAAACACAGCATCTGGTCCGGTGAAGTGGGAGTCGCGTTGATGCACCTTAACAGAGTACCTGCGTGTAAACTCCTTTCCACACAGCTCACACACAAACTTCGATCCATGTGGCTTGGGCCAACAGGTGGGTGCTGCTGCTATCCCTGGCTGCCACAACCCTACACAGTCAAGGTCGCTGTTGTCACCACAGCCATCCCGGCCACCATCATGGATGAGGGGGGCCAGGGAGATTGTGCTGCCCACGGAGCCTGTAATGAGACACCACAGGGGTTACTGCTGCACGGTCAGGCGTGCAGGCGCGGATCATCCAGTGCCTGTGCGGTGGTAGCAGAGGTAGAAGGGTTTGTCTTGCTGGCTGGTTTGCGGTGGTAGTTACTCTTGTGAACTCGAAGCGTACTCAGATTTTTGAAAGATAGGCCACAAATCTCACATTTAGCACTGCCAAGGCCTGAGTGCTGGTCCCGCATGTGAACCTTCAGATTGTACACATTACTGAATGTACGACCACAAACTGAGCATTCATACCGGATCTGCCTGCGTTCACGGACCATGGGGAAAAAGCCCAAACCTGTAATGACAAAACAACACCCTTTACTATCTACAGCTATGACAAGAGTAGCGTCATGTGAGGGCATGCAAAGTAAGATGCAGGCATGTCAGGCAGCAGGCAGGTGGACTACGAAAGTCTACAGTCCCGTGACTTACTGGCAGCATGCTCTCACTCTACTGTGCCCTGACACTTGCCACCAACCTCTTAGAAAAGCTTAATTAAACTTGTCGGACCCCAGCTGTTGAAGGTTTCATCACGGTAATAACCCCTACTTCAAAATTTATAGCCAAACAAGAAGCCATACAAGACAGAAAAGCTCAAACTACAAATAATGACATTTCTCACACAGTGTCACTCACTGCCTTACAAGAGAGAGGGACCAGCTCTAGCACAAGGCATTGACAATGAGGCCGGCTTTAGCTTTCACCCGTATACCAAGCTCAAGAGACCTCTTGTTTACCCTTCTTGTAGACTCTTAAGCCACTTATGGACTCATCACCAACAACCATATACTGTACATCATATTCACCCTACATCCAAATTCACAAGGCCTTGGTGTTCACACACTCTTATCACTGTGCCAAGACCCATTTCACAAAATACACAAGGAGTATCATACAAAAATAAAAAATTAAATCTTTTAGCAGTTGAGATAATCTGAGGATACGAGCTTGCGATTTCCTCATCAAGCGCAAATAAACAATTTGTGTTCCATCCTAAAAGCACCATTTCATGCATACATCTAACTCTCACTGTCAGCTTAATAAGCACTTAGTGGACACGGTTTGCAAGCATGGCACTGGCCAATCCTACTGCATCCTGAGTGAGGTGCCGTCAGTTGACTTTGTTGCGGTGGTGCCTTTGTATGTGCATCCTCAGGCCCGACCGGGTTCTTGACACTTTATCGCACATGGCACATGGGAAGGGCCCATAGTTGAGATGTGCGTCTTTAAAGTGCACCCGTAGATTTCCAATGGACGTGTACGTTTTGCCACAGTATGGACAATGAAGTAAGCCCATATAGGAGCTGGCCCTGCCTGGAAAGAGACGGAAACCTTAATGTAGAGGTTGTGAAGGAGCAGGAAGATGGGGAAGGAGAGGGTGCTGGAGGTGTCTATGATTGCGATGCATGTGTACACGCAGTCCATTTACACTCTTAGAGAGCTTGTTGCATAGGTGGCAGATATAGGGCCCGTCCGTACCGTGCACATCACGTATATGTACACGCACATTGGATACACATGAGAACACTTTGCCACACAGCGGACATTGTGGGATCACTGACTGAAGTTGCTCACTGACATTTGATGGTGGAGGCCGGCCTGCAAAACGAGAAGACACTGCTGAAGGGACCTGTGTTTCAGACACATAACTTCACAGTCTAAAGCCTGCAATCTTCTGTCTCAGCACTACTGCACACATATATCACGACTAGAAGCAACAATTATACAGTGCTCTGCTACATTCAGCTATCACAAGCTATCACTACTATTCCACCCCATGTCCACAGACTACAAAATCACTGGTTATCACAACGCCTGTGATTCCTGTGAATGTGCACCCTCAATGCGTTCCTATTTTTGGCCGGCTTGTTGCAAATGGGGCACCAGACAGGGCCACATGCTGTGTGTATGTCCCTGATGTGGATGCGCAGGCTACCTGCGCAGGAGAATAGTTTCCAACAGTGAGGACATGGCAGGCCCGAGGATACAACACGGCCTGGAAAGAGACCAAAGGCCTTCTTAGTCTTGCAGATGGTTGATGCTGGTTTAATTACGATGGTGTCTCTGGATGTGCATTCTTAATCCTGACTGACTCTTTGAGGGTTTGTTGCAGTGGGGGCACCAATACGGGCCACTATTGTCATGGATGTCTCGGATGTGCGTGCGCAGGCTGCTAATGCACGAGAAGGTTTTCTTACAGAAGCTACACACAACGAACCCAATGTTTAGCCTTCCTGTAACAGAGAAGACAAGGGGCTCTTAATGACTGTTGGAGGTGGTTGGAGTGTGATGGTAAATGGTAGCTGCTGCTGTGGGGGTGCTAGCATGACTGTTACCCTTCACCTTTATGCCTGGGTGTTGCCTATAGGTGTGCGTCAACATCGAGTTCTTGGTGCGAAACACTTTTGCACACACTATGCACCTGAACTGGTAGTATATTCCAGAGTGCATGTCGGCTATGTGTTTTCGCAGGTTACTACGGTGCCTGATTACTTTACCACAATATGGGCAATACTGGCTTGAATCGTCTGAGGCCAGGCTGGGCCCTGCAAGAGTGAAAACATCCCACTTAGAATTTTAAAAGAAGCCAGTTTTTTTGTTTTTGTTTTTTTTTTAATTGACACAGCAACCATAGTATGGAAAAGTTTACTTTGAATGAAACACAAAATGGCTTCATCCATTTAATTGACAAATTTTACAGGACTGTAACATAACACTTATACAGTACAAAGGGAATTATTGCGTGTACAATTACATTACAGGATAAATATCCGTAAATGTCATTTCTGACTAGGAAATTAGATTGCAAATTGTCAAGTTATAAAGCACCATTGGAGATAAATACTCCTATCGAGAACATCACGAAGTGTTTACGTGGGCACTTGTTCTTCCATAGCTCAATATGCTATTCACATTTGCACCGGTAAGTGTCCAATAAATAAATAGCATTAGCAACCAACGCTGGATAAATGCAGTTTCTTTTAAAGAACTGTCATATTGCGAACACTGTCTTTCACTCTTTCCATTCTTCCTCCCCCTTTTAAAACTAATAATAATGATAAAAACAAAATCACTGTCTCTTTATGACTTCTTTTTCTTGATCATGTCACAGACTTTGATGGCCGGATGTGTCTCTAGGAGGTGTTTGGAGAATGAGCGGCGGCAAAACGTGCTAAAGTCACACACTGTACAACTGTAAGGCCGATTGAAGCGCACTTTGATCCCTCCTGAAACGGTAGGAAAAACCGGCAATCAGAGTCTGACCTCCAACAACATGGCCGTAGCACAATTATGTGTAATAATGTCATTGAGTTCCCCTCACCAGTCTGTGGTACTTGTGTTAGCTTTAATCGCAAGAAGCTTCAAGAAGGCTAAATAGAGCCTGGTTTCATTTTGATTTATGAACAAATTTAGCTTTCCTTCACACTATTTTCTGGACACACGATTCCTGCAGGAGGCACATAAGAGACTAAGGCTGAAAACCTTTGTCCATTTGATACTTTGCATGTCAGGGTTTTGCTTTTGCAATGAAAGTTTCGGGATTGGTGTTACTTGTGTCACAGTTCACTCTACACAGGTGCAACTGCCATTCACCTACCTGCACATTAAAACAGCAAGAGTTGTATTCAGTATCATCAGCAACATCTTAGATACCATCATTCATATTCAAACACAAATTGATGGAGCTCAATTCTTAAATTTTAACTTGTCTTGTTGTCCATGACTAATTTTCCTTAATATGTGGAGAACAATAATAAATAAACCAGCACTAATAACTCACTGTTTTAAGGCAGTTGCTAAAAGAAGCATTACCCCAAATTTGAGATATTACTTCTTTCTTAATAGTATTGTTAATATATATATATCAATTGGATACTACTGACCAAACACCATGACAGTATACAGAACTTAACTTGAGCTTATGCATTATAAATCAATGCCAATAATGTTTATGAGGCCCTGGTGTTTGGTAATGGCCCAACCTGAAGATAATGCAACAAAACAAAGACCACAAGGTTCCCAAGAGAAGAAAAGAACTACAATAAGTCAATACAACCCTAATCCACATGGTCTTTTATAAGACAAATTACTAACCCCAATATTTTCTTTCAACAAAAAAAAAAAAAAAAAAAGTGGGGGTGGGAGGGACAAGAAGAACAATGACAATGACCACCAAAATACTACATCCTAAGCTAAGCAAGACAAAATAAAATAAAAACAAAGAAAAACAAGAGATGATTGGGCCATTTAACACTACGTAAATAAAAAGTACAATAAGAACTGAATATTCAGGTAATAAATATTCAATTCATATCAATTAATATTCAAGCACTCAAAACGATCAGTAAAGGGGCAAAATATACTGTAGTACAGTACAAATATATCAATACTCTATCAAACAGTATTTACAGTACTTAATTAACAAGACTGAATAGATTTAATAATTTGTTCATATTATGCCCATTTACTATTAATAATTTTAACTTACTAAAGAATGACTGAAAACCACTTATGTTTGAATCTTATTTTATTAACTTCTTAACTTTATTAATAGACAATAGTTAGAATTCTTGATTTTTAAATTAACAAATGAATTGGTTTTCAGTCTTTCAACTGGAACTTCACAGCCTTTTAATTTAGTTAAAAGCACACTGAGTGGGGTGTAGAGAGGAAGCAAAAACAACGTTAATGTGGGGAAGAGAACAACTCAGCTTTAACTCTATGCCTTATAAAATTACATTATAAAAGTGATTTCAACAGATTAATCACAATCATAATTATGATACAGTATTTGGCAGACTGTGAAACTCCAAGTAGAGGCTTAACAGGAGGCATCTGGTACATACCTTGGCTGGCATCTTGACTAGCAGCACCTTGTGACATTGAAGGGCCCGGCAGAGCCGAGATCCCAGGAGGAAGGCCTAAGGAAGACACCACAGGCACCCATTAAAGTAGCGGCAAAGATTTAAGTGCCAAAACACATCTCACCACTTCATCATTTAATTTCTAGTTAAGTCCAGACAAAATTACATCACAAAACCCTCTTAATATCATCACAACTTCCCAAAATTTTCAATTGCAGCTTGAGAAAGTTTTCAAGAAATCATAAGCATATTCTTATCCTGCTTACTACCACATCTCCTTCCATGCCCGTCTAAATGGCTTCGTCAAAATACGTAAATCTAACTATCCCACATGACCTACTACCTGCAAGCTTCCCAAGTTACACACTAAAATCTCCAGGTGCTCTATTCACCTTCACATATCCAGTAATATACCCACTAGACCACAACTGACTGTTTAAAAACTTGGAAGTTTGTTAGACTTTTAACATAATTGCAAACAGCACACGGCTGCCACCAGGCACAGATAATTTTCATCAAATCTATTCACTATGCGTGGAAATGCGAGTATCATTTGTGTGACAAGACTTGAATAGGCCCCAAATTATATGCATCTGTTTCTCTCTGATGCATTCACACATATATAAATTACACACACACACACACATATATATAATATATAAACATATACACTCATGGATGTGTATATATACACATCTATGGGTGTGTATATATAAACATCTATGAATGTGTATATATACACATTTAGGAAGAGCTGGATAAGGTCTTCAAACAGTGATTGTTATGTAAGAATGTAGGTAACTGCAGAAGACTTTGAGCATTGCATAGTAAGCTTAAGTAACTATAGCCTAAGCCATAGTGCATTCTGGCTACTAAGAACAATACTGTACATTATATATATATATATATATGAATGAAAACTCACACCCCAGAAGTGACTCGAACCCATACTCCCAGAAGCAACGCAACTGATGGTCAAGCGGATTAAGGCGCCCTGTATATTCGCATATAGTCCTGGGGACCATTCAGGCTTGTTCGCATAGGTATTTGGTGAAATGATATGCCCAGAAGATACCATCCGAGTTGCCGTCGGGGAAGTGGCTCAAATAGCCTCGGCTATCACTTCCTTTGACGGCCGTGATGGTCAAGCGGATTAAGGCGCCCTGTAGTTACCAGTTGCGTTGCTTCTGGGAGTATGGGTTCGAGTCACTTCTGGGGTGTGAGTTTTCATTCGCATATAGTCCTGGGGACCATTCAGGCTTGTTCGCATTTGTGTTCCTCACGTGTGCCCCAAAGAATGAGGTGATTTGGTGAAATGCTATGCCCAAGATTACCATCCGAGTTGCCGTCGGGGAAGTGGCTCAAATAGCCTCGGCTATCACTTCCTTTGACGGCCGTGATGGTCAAGCGGATTAAGGCGCCCTGTAGTTACCAGTTGCGTTGCTTCTGGGAGTATGGGTTCGAGTCACTTCTGGGGTGTGAGTTTTCATTCGCATATAGTCCTGGGGACCATTCAGGCTTGTTCGCATATATATATATATATATATATATATATATATATATATATATATATATATATATATATATATATATATATATACCTAATAGCCAATAGAACGCACTTCTCAGCCTACTATGCAAGGCCCGATTTGCCTAATAAGCCAAGTTTTCCTGAATTAATATATTTTCTCTAATTTTTTTCTTATGAAATGATAAAGCTACCCATTTCATTAAGTATGAGGTAAATTTTTTTTTATTGAAGTTAAAATTAACGTAGATATATGACCGAACCTAACCAACCCTACCTAACCTAACCTATCTTTATAGGTTAGCTTAGGTTAGGTAGCCGAAAAAGTTAGGTTAGGTAGGTTAGGTAGTCGAAAAAACATTAATTCGTGAAAACTTGCCTTATTAGGCAAATCGGGCCTTGCATAGTAGGCTCAGAAGTGCGTTCTGGCTACTAGGTACGACATATATATATATATATATATATATATATAAGGTTAGGTTAGGTAGCCAAAAAAAGTATATATATATATATATTATATATATATATATATATATATATATATATATATATTAAAAAAATTCTTATATATATAAAACTTATATATTTAAAATATATAATATATATTTTCAGTTGCATATATGCCTGGAGACTGTTCAGGTTTGTTCGCATTTGTGTGTTCCTCATGTGTGCCTCAAAGAATGAGGTGATATGATAAAATACCATGCCTGCCCATGATTACCAACAGAGTGCCGGCGGGGGGGGGGGGGGGGGGGGGGGGGGGGGAATTAGCCACAAAACGACCATCCTCTTTTGTCTGGTCGTGTTGGTCGAGTGGTTAAGGAGGCAACAGGTTGGTTACCGAAAAGTTGTTCAGTGTCAACCAATATTTTTTGACTAGTTGTATATAAAAAGGGCTGCAATTGGCCCAAGTTTCGTACTTCAGCGTAAATAGAAAGGGAGATTTTTTTCAACGTTTTTTTTGCACATTTTCAAGTCTGAATAAACGCACGTTTCAAATATAATTATTCTGTGACACTTTTCTGACACATTAGCATATAATAAAGGATCTGTAGATAGATAATTTCCAAAACATCTTTAGTTTTCCTAATACAATTTTTCAAAGTTCCCACAAAAAATTATGCAAATATGGCATGTTTATTGCTATTATAACTATCCCACATGACCTACTACCCACATGCGATATGCAAATATGGCATGTTTATTGCTATTATAAAATCAATAAATGAACTTAGAGAAAAAAGCTATCTCCAAAATTTAGACACATGCACACTACATATACTGTGTAAGTTTCATGTAAATTGAATAAAAAATGAAAAAGTTATTTGAACATTTATGTTAATTAAAAAAAAACACAGCAAATAATAAGAGTCTAAGGTTCTAAAATCTGTGGCCGAGGTTGACATCAACCAATTTTCTCCAAAATTGGCACCCCTACAGATAGGCTTAGGTGCAGTCAGGTATATAAATTTCAAGCAAATCGTCCGACAAAAAAAAAAAAAAAAAAAAAAAAATCTAATTTTTTTAACTTAATTTTTTTCCAATTAAACTAATTACAATATTTGTTTAATATATGCTATTGTGAGAGCAAAGAGTCATAGATATGATTTTAGTTGACACTTTTGTTTGATAATCGTTTTTGACCATTTTGGAATAATTTTGACATCTACTTCAATATTTTTTTCTCCCTTCCTATTTATGCTACGATGCTGAAACTTGGACCAGATGAAACACTTTTCATATGCAACTTACCAAAAAAGTTTGATTGAAATCGAACAAGTTTTCATTTATTGCATTTTTGGGGCAAACTGGAACCAAATGCCCCCTTAAGGTGTCCTATACGCCAGATGCAGAGTGCTCCTTACAGTATGGGTTAGAGTCACTTTTGGGGGGTGAGTTTTCAGTTGCATATATGCCTGGAGACCATTCAGGCTTGTTCGCATATATATATAAATATATATACATATAAATATATATATAAATATATATACATATATATACATATATATATATACATATAAATATATATACATATATATATACATATATATATATATACATATAAATATATATACATATATATATACTAGTATATTTTGGTAGCAGTCTTTCCTGTAGACATATATTATTAAATATGACCGAAAAAGTAAGATTAATAATTCTAACACGAATTTTCTCAATCTTTCGTACATTTCGTTTCACTATTGGAGGTAAATCAAAAATCAATTCTCCAAAATTCATTTTTATTTCTAGTCTAGAAATAAAACTAGAAATAAAAATGAATTTTGGAGAATTGATTTTTGATTTACC